TACACCATTGGCAAAAGAAAATATAGGCCCATCCAGTCTAAGGCACTCTACCGTCTCCCCAACCTTTTCAAATACTATGCCATGCGCCTGAGCAAGCGGGTCCGCTGCCATAATAAACTATATCCACTCTGCCGCTCGTAATCATGTCAAGCTTCAAACGTCCATTTATGGCTGTTCGATCTGCTTTAAAAGTCACGCCTTACGGGTGCTTGCAGTATGGATATTTTGTTTACATTCACACTCCACAGTTGCTGCAGATATGACTGGCCCATCAGGTATCGGCAGCACGCCATCGCCTTCCCTGTCCAACATGGCTGAAGACTACCCCGTTCATCGCCGAAGTATCTTCGAGGTGCGCCACTCGCTCCGTCCTACGCACTGCACCTTTACTCACACACCTTTACAGAATGTTCAGGCTTTTATATATGACATAAACCATAATCAAGCAGAGGTGGCGGCGTGCGTAGCGGCTTACCCTGACTCTGCGCCGCTGATCTACAGTGTCCTTCCAACTGCGGAGCCTGGCAGCCTCCCCGCACCGCCAGCACAAACCTCAGGCCTTGACACAGTGGATGCTACTGATTCGTCCAGCTGCATCGACGAACAATCTTGTTCCGGAAATCGACCCGCCAAAAGGAAAAGGCGTAACAGCCCTGACAACGCCTATAAGCGCGCTGTAGCGATTGCTAATAGACTTCCCCAAGAACTAGGCTCGGCGCATGTCTTGTCCGAACTACAGCGCGATCTACAATGTGAGAGGATCCGAAACGATCATAATGCACAGCAGCGACAGCGTGCAAACCCGGAACGGAGGTCGCACAGCGAAGAGAAGGCGGCCAATCATTCAGAGGATTTAGAAGATGATTGCCACAACCTACAACCCAGCCCACGTTTTGATACGGCCGTTGAGAGGTACCGGCGTATACTAATCGCACAACGCTATCAGACTGCCCTACACAATAAGGAAAAGCGCACATGTTCGGTCGCCGAAGAATTTGCTCAAAAGTATTTACCGGATACCGTTAAGGAAGGCTTGTCAAAAGAAAAAATTGCAGGACAAATGGAAGCCCATCATACACCAACATCAGTTCTGGGAGCAGCTTGCGGCCTCTTGTGGTGGTGCTGGCGTGTTGCTTCTGCTACCCGCAGAGTTCCGGAACGAGCAGTAGGTTCGCCTAAGCCCAGCGACGACTACAAAGGCTCACATTTGCAGCGCGCGACGGCTAAAAAGTAACGATAGGGCTGCCCTCTTCTCTAACATTGCTGCGAGGCATCGGAACTTGAAAGATGATATTAAAGCCCTCACGGATCTTTTATCATACTTTTTCTCCAACAGTGTTTTACCAACGTGGCAGATTCCTTTAGAGAAATTGCCTAAAGCGGATATAGTGGCCTGGCGGCAAAGAGGACTACAGGAACTGGTCGGCCCTGCCGATGCCGCGGCGCATTTTGCCGTGGATGGAGGAGACGCAGCAACGCTTCCAAGTACACAGCCGCTCAATCCGCTTATTGATTCAAGCGTGCATGTAAGCATAACTGGGCGGCAAATTGGAGGAGCTGATTTTGTGCGAGAAGTTTTGGCTACGAATGATGCGACTTCAGACACCACAAGCAGCCAGCTAGGCCAGACTACGCGCTTCCCGTCCGCTACGCAGGATGGCATTCATGCAGTGGGAAAAATGCATGAGGCGGTGGAGCTTAGTTCGCAGGTACCTAAATTCGTATTCATCCCATCTCGGATGACGCCTGTTAAAAGTTGCAGATTT